GGTGGTGGTGGTGGCGGTGAATTTATGAAGATATACTGGCCTTTCACTACCCTTCCTGCTGTGCCTAAAACTGTTTACTGCTCTTCCCAGGCCAAGGGTAAATAGTTTGGAAGTTAAAGATCTTGGTAGCAGCACCAGCGGTCATGGATCAGAGCAGAGATTCATAAGAAGGCCACCTGGGTGGAGGTGGGGGCAGGACTCTCTCCAGGTCTGTGTAGAGCCACAGTTACCTGCTTCTTCTTCAAGCCCTGACTCTCCCCAAACCCTCACTCAGAGTTTTCTGCTCCCTGTGTTGTCCAGAAAGCCAGGACAGAGGCACAGTGGTGGCCAGCTCTTGAGTTAGCTCTGTCTTTATAGATCCCCTTTGATGTGGTTATTATCAGAAACTGCTACTGAAAATTCATCCAGAGGCCTGATATCTTGAGGATTTTCCTAGACTATTAGGTGGACATATGCTGAAATCTCCCGTATCTTAATACAAACTGTAGTTAAACAAAAATTTTGTTTAAAATCTCCCTTATCCTACAAAAATAAAAATCCTCTCTCAAGCCGGTGTGTACCTCAAGCTACTGCCCTAGCTATCTCCTTTTATTCCCTGCTAAACTACCTGGAGAGTCATCTATATTCACTGCCTCAATTTTCTCATAATCTGCTTTTGTCTCACCCCTGTCACTTGGATTCTGGATTTCATTGCCTCCACTGAAACATCTCTCTCCAGGGTTGGGCACATCTTCTTTTTTTGGGGGGGGGGGCACATCTTCTAAGTGGCCTCTTCTAAACTTTCATCTAGAAGAATGACCACTTCGAATAAGACAATACTCACCACACCGTACTACCTGGCACTCTCTCTTCCCTTGGCTTCCAAGGCCCCACATTGCCCTGGCTTTCCTCCTCTATCTCCAGATATGCTTTTCTGGTCCTTTCTTGCCTTGCACAGGAGGTAGTCTAGTCCCCTGTTCTTCTGACTTCTTCCATGTGGTTGGTGAACAGATCCACTCCCCATCTCTGCACTCCCAGATCTTTCCTTTCTCCCGTATGTCCAGATGGATATCCTGTAGACACCTCCCATTCCTTACCTACCTCCTGGTTGCTTCCCCATTCCTTTGACTTTCCTACATCCCCACTGGCTTGTTTGGGGCCTTATCATCACCAACTTGGACGATGACCTTCTAACTGGTTTCTTCCAGTCCCTTCTCAACTTTGCATCAAGAATACTTTTCCTAAACTTAATTATGCTGCTTCTATGCTTAACACCCTTCAGTATATCCCCAATGTATAATTCTTAACATTGTCAATATGGCAACAAGATAATTAAATCTGGGTCCCTACAGCCTCTCTGGATTCATCTTTCATTTACCCTTCGCTTCGGATCCACAGTTCTACTGAAGGACTAGTGTATTTCAAGGCCCAGGTTTTGATTCTGGCCCCTGACGTCACCAGTTATGTCACCCTGGGCATATTAGTTGACCTCCCTGGGTCTCAGTTCCCTCACCTACAAAATTAGGATGGGGCCAGGGATTAAAGGAGATAATAGCTGTGCAGTGCTTAGAGTAATATCTGGTTGATAAATAACAGCTGTCATTAAAACCTTCCACTGGCACTGTGTCTGTATGTGCACCTGTGTGTCTGTCTCCCACCAGGCTTTTTAGTCCCTCAAATACAGGGACAGGAGCTGCTTCTCTTCATTATCCCCTACAGCCCTAGTAATTGTTAACTTGGTCAAACTGAACTGAATGGACCCTGTTCCTCCACCCACCATCTCTATCTATAAATACAGCCAGCTATTAACACTCAAATAGCCCTCTTCTCTCAACTGGGCTTCGTCACGCCACGTTTGGTGGACCACCTGCCATAGTCTTTCAGTGTCAAGCCAATCAGGAGGTCCCTCTTTGTCACTGGAAGCATCTTGGGTTATATTTGGCAAGTCAGCTGTGGTTACATCCATATTTCAATATAAATGGTTTTTAACGAGAATTTGCTCCAGACATGAGGAAGTCTGTTTCACATTGTCATTACTGGGTATTGGTTAACAGTATGTACTTCGGAGGCAAACAGAGGCCTAGGTTTGTGAACCCTGAGAAGTAAGAAGAGCTCCTGGTGGCTAACTGGGCTCAAATTTTTAAAAACTTTAAAGATCAAAAAAAAAAAATCAAAAGCGCCTAGTAGCCATTTCTGCACAGGGGCCTCCCAGGCAAGCTACAGTTGGAGAAGCCTCTGCTATGAAAAAGCCTGCCTGCCTCGGCTCTGAAGGGCCTGCCTGCCTGCACTGTGTCTCTGCCACCTGAGGCAGCCCTTGAAAGGAGCTCCTGGAGTCTCGTTTCAACCAATAGGACTGAGGCATCCCCATCTAATCAGAGCTGTACAGCTCTGACCAATCAGAGCAGCTCTATTCTGGCCAATCAGGACAGTGCCTTTGGACCAATCAAACTGAGGATTTGGCACCCACTATGCCTGGGAATAGTCCAATCAGGGACCAGGGGCGGGGACTTCTGTCTATATAAGTCAGCTCCCTTGTGGCTTAAAAAGCTCACTTCACTGAGGACTACCTGGGTGAGCAGGGCCGTGCACACAGGGTGGCCTCACGTCCTCACACAGCCTCACAGTTTTCTCAGCTGTGCTGTAACACTGTTTAACTGCTTGTGCTAAGTAAAGTTTCCTTCTTCACCGCACCCCAAGTTGGGGATTCCTGTTGGCTTTTTTTTTTTAATATGATTTTTTAAATTGATTTCAGAGAGATGGTAGGAGCGGGAGAGAGAAACATCAATGATGAGAGTCATTGATTGGCTGCCTCCTGCATGCCCCCTGCTGGAAATCAAGCCCCCAACCCGGGCATGTGCCCTGAGGGGGAATGGAACCTCGATCTGGATCATAGGTTGACGCTCAACCACTGAGCCACGCCAACTGGGCTCCTGTTGGCTTTTGAATTGGTGCCAAGGATCCTGGGTTGACAGGTTCAAATCCAGACTCATCACCAGCTGAGTCCTGCTTGTGGTTTTGGTCAAGTTAACTAACTTCCGTGCCTCTAGTTCCTAATGGGAAGAGTAGACTATGGTGGGTAAGAGCACTGGGTGTTGGGAGAGGACAGACCTCTGAGTGCACTCTGTGTCCTTGGGCAAGTTGCTTAACCTCTTTGTTCCTTAAGGTTCACATGTGTAAAAGAAGGGTAAAAACACAATGTGCACTGCAGGGTTTGGTCAGGTCTGATGAGATAATCCCAGTCTGGTAGGTGTTCAGCGTGGACCTCGATTCATATCCAGGGCTTGGGAAAGATTAGTTTTGCTGTTTGTGTTAACAGTAGCGTAGTTGCTATTGTTATTGGTACTATTACTACTAACACAACTTCTGCTGGGTCCATTTTACTGCCTGTAGCCCTGCATCAAATGCCTGGGTCAGGCCAAAGAAGAAAATAGTCACCACTTACAAAATCAGACAGGTCCTCTGGAAGTAGATTGTTGGGAACACCAGCAAATTCACCTCACTCCATTTCTGGGAGGCATGGCTATTATCTGGGAACATCAGAAGAAATACAGCCAAATGTCTCTCCACCACGCCTTCCAATGTCGTCTGACGCATCCTTCAGTGTCCACAGAAGAGTTAAGCCTTATCTTTTGTTTCCAAGAGGCAGCCACACACGAATGATCTGATCTCGTTAAGAAACAGGCGTCAACCTGAACGTGGCTGTGATTACATCTCAAACCCATCAGCTGCTGAAAAGGGAGCTAGGATCAGAAGGTCTGAGCAAAATATTGAAAGTGAGATTATGAAGAATGGTGCTTATTGAGGGGTCAGAGTCAGGAAAGGAGATAGACCCAACAATTGGAGTGAAAATGGAAAGTAATTGATAAAGACTTTGCAGAATTGAAGACTTAAGGAAAAGAGAGGCAAAGAAAAGCTCTCAGTCCCTAGATGAAGGAAACCACAATAGTCATGTCAAAGAGTTTTTTGTGAACGCACAGGGAATATTAATTAAGATGCTGTAAGTCAATTCAGATAAAATGGGATGAATTCAAAGCCATATACGTATGTGCAGATGGATACATATTCATGTTTGTATCTATGTGGGCATGTGAAGCTATCTCAGGAATATAAAGAGAGCCGGGAGAGCAATCCTGGTGTTCGGATTTCTCCTGTTGAAAGGAATTGAAACTTTGCTATTAAGACTATTTCTGCATCATTTTAGCACAGCAATGCAAGAAAATTCCCCAAATAATATAAAGGCTGATTTTTCTATTTTCAGGCCAATGAGAGTGATTGAAGCTTTAGGTGACTATCAGGTCATTTCCCACTATACTTAATTTTGTGTGGAGCAAAGGAGGGGAAATACGTGCCCACATTGATGTCTTTTCATGTGTACAGGCTAAGTTTGACTTCCAGGTAAACAGTGTTGTCTTTTCAAATACACATTTCAGAACTTACATATCAATGAGGCAGAATGGTCACCTTGGAAGGCAATATCATTATTCTGGTCATCCTGCAATTACTGAGAGTTCTTTAGAAATGTCTATTTTTTAAATTCTCTCCATCGATAATTACAAGCCACGAGAAAAGGAAAACATTTCTTTAACCAAGTACATTTTGAATATCTACCGGGCATTATGCTAGATATCAAGCAAGAATTGGACATTGGTCTGACATAGGTTAGGTCTAAGAAGGCAGATAGTATTATTTTATTGACTCAAAGTGACATTACCAAGTATGTTCACCCATGGTATTTGTTAGACTTGATAGTTTCCAAAACTCAGATCTACCTTCAAAGAGCCAAGGTGTGACACTACTACGGGTATTCCAAATTCATAGCCATTTTTGGCAATGAGTAATTCCTAAGTAGAAATTCTGTAAGACATTTGGGCAATGGTGGAATAATCGTTTAGCTTCTCAGAGGAACTACCTCTTTGGGAGAGGAGTCACTTCAACGGCAACACTTCAGTATTTTAAAAAATCATTCACTTTATTTTTATATGTATTTTTAATAGAGTGTGTATGTGTGTGTATATATTCTCCATTTTTAGTACATTAGTCTCAAAACATTTTCTGTTAGTGCACTAGTGGGTTTCCCAAGTGGCCTGTTCACACAGCCTGGGGAGCTGACGACATGCTCATTAATCTGTCTGCTGCCATGTTCTCCCCTTTTCCAGAATCCTAGGGAATCGGGTGGCAGAACTGGAGAAAAAATTAAGAACTCTGGAAGTTTCTGGTTTGTGGAGCCTCCCCGGTAAGCAGAACTTCATAAAATTTGTTTTCTTTTTTTTTAAAAAAAATGAAGCATGCTCATGATTTGCAAAGAAGATTCTACCTTTTCAGTGCGCTTTTATTTGAAGATAATTGTTGGGAAATCTACAAGTGTTTTAAACTTAGAAACCATCATTTTGGAGGGAAATCAGTGAAGTACAGTAAATATGCAGGTTCTTGTCTACGTAATTATGAAGTTTTGCTAACTTGAATTCTGAAATTGTCATTGTGTGTGCCTGTATATGTGTATGTTTAAAAAAACCCAGCTTTGTGAATATAGCAAATTGCTTCACTTTTGTTACCCATAAGTGTCTTATAAAGATTTGTTCAATTTAATCATCACCCCTACAAATGAATAAGAATATACAAATATTTATTCCGTTTCATCATAATCCTAAAAATGAAAATAAGAAAAAACAAATGTTCTAACCCAAATGCACTTGGCAACCTCCCCTTCCTCTCTTTGCCCACCCCATTTTTAATGTAGCTTGAAAATAAAAATTTCCCGTGGAGATCTTTTTTTCTCACGGTTGTACCCGGTATGAGGAAACTCTGATGTTTCACTTTCATTAGCTGTATTTATTGTTTGTCTTGGTGAAATACCCCTTTCATGAGACCATCCGCCCCTTTTCCTTACACGCTCCAGAAACTTGTACGTGACCATTTTCCATCACCTGCTCTGCCCCTCGAAGCAACATTGTACGTGTATTTGCTACTTAACTTTTCTGCACAAGCGTCTGTACCCTTGATCTGTATCAGTCGCTTCCCTGTAACGTAGGGGGAATGAAAATTGCCACAGGGATGTGAACAACAACATGTTCCTTAATGTAAATCTGAATAGGTGCCTTAGGTTGCCTGGAAGAGTGTTTCATAAATTGGAATTTTTAGCAGCGATTCCTTGAACTCGATGTCAGAAGACCTAACAGAGCTAATTAGTGGCGAGTGCCGTCCTGGGGATTTGAATGATCCATTTTGCACAAGAGCCTTTTGATGCGGTTAAAACCTTATCTTCTTTGAAGGCCTTTTTTTTATTGCATTGAATTTCAACACAGTCGGGCAAACTTATCGTGTATTTGTGCAGTCAGATTGCTATTTCTGGGCATGTACTGGAGT